TCTGTGGAGGGGGAGCCAGCAGCCAGTGTGCTCCGGCCCCACTCCTCAGGAGCTCCCTACATCAGAGGCAGCAGTGTGGGGTGGAAGGCCGGAGCCGGTCTGCAAGGAGAGCCAGCTTAAAAACCAGTTCTCGGAAAAGACCAGATGCCTGACACCCCATGCTGCTGCCCCAATACAGAAGCAGAGCATCTTCTGTCCACAGGAAGCTCGGACTGTAGGGCTGGTGCTACACTTCAAAGGCAAAAACGCTGTGGGGAGCATGGGGCCAGTGGGGGACTCAAGCTGACTCCCACTGAGTTCTTTGAAGGGGTTAACAAACATGCGGACAAGGGGGATCCAGTAGATATAGTATACTTGGATTTTCAGAAAGCCTTTGACAAGGTCCCTCACCAAAGGCTCTTGTGTAAATTACATGGCCATGGGATAAGAGGGAAGGTCCTTTCTTGGATTGAGAACTGGTTAAAAGACAGGAAACAAAGGGTAGGAATAAATGGTAAATTTTCAGATTGGAGAGGGGTAACTAGTGGTGTACCCCAAGGGTCAGTCCTGGGACCAATCCTTTTCAACTTATTCATAAATGATCTGGAGAAAGGGGTAAGCAGTGAGGTAGTAAAGTTTGCAGATGATACCAAACTGTTTAGGATAGTCAAGACAGAAGCAGACTGTGAGGGACTCCAAGAAGATCTCACCAAACTGAGTGATTGGGCAACAAAATGGCAAATGAAATTTAATGTGGATAAGTGTAAAGTAATGCACATCGGGAAAAATAACCCCAACTATACGTGCAGTATGATGGGGGCTAATTTGGCTACGACAAATCAGGAAAGAGATCTTGGAGTTATCGTGGACAGTTCTCTGACAACTTCCACGCAGTGTGCAGCGGTGGTCAAAAAGGCAAATAGGATGCTAGGAATTATTAGGAAAGGGATAGAAAATAAGACCCAGAATATCTTACTGCCCCTGTATAAAACTATGGTACGCCCACATCTTGAATACTGTGTACAGATGTGGTCTCCTCACCTCAAAAAAGATATTTTGGCCTTGGAAAGGGTTCAGAAAAGGGCAACTAAAATGATTAGGGGTTTGGAACGGGTCCCATATGAGGAGAGGTTAAAGCGACTGGGACTTTTCAGTTTAGAAAAGAGGAGACTGAGGGGGGATATGATAGAGGTCTATAAAATCATGAGTGGTGTGGAGAGGGCTGATAAAGAAAAGTTATTTATTAGTTCCCATAATAGAAGAACTAGAGGACACCAAATGAAATTAATGGGTAGCAGGTTTAAAACTAATAAAAGAAAGTTCTTCTATACACAGCGTGTTGTCAACCTGTGGAACTCCTTGCCAGAGGAGGCTGTGAAGGCTAGGACTATAATAGAGTTTAAAGAGAAGCTGGATAAATTCATGGAGGTTAGGTCCATAAAAGGCTATTAGCCAGGGGATAAAATGGTGTCCTTGGCCTCTGTTTGTCAGAGGCTGTAGAGGGATGGCAGGAGACAAATCGCTTGATCGTTGTCTTCGGTCCACCCTCTCTGGGACATCTGGTGCTGGCCACTGTCGGTAGACAGGATACTGGGCTAGATGGACCTTTGGTCTGACCCAGTACGGCCGTTCTTATGTTCTTATATGCAGCGCTGCCACTTTGAAATGCCACGTGCAACCCAGCCCAGATGGTCCTGGGCTGCATGTGGCATTTCAAAGCAGCAGCACCGTGTGGTGCCAGGGGTCTAGCCCTGGGCTTCATGTGGTGCTGCCGCTTTGAAGCACTCTCTCTCCCCCCCCCACCAATTCCCATACACACATTTGCTGTCTCTTTCTGATAGAGGCAGCAAGGGTGAAGGGGAAGTGACTAGTCCACTAGTCATTCACATCCCTAGTAGCTAGTATAATAAACTTCATGAGAGCCCCAAAGACCACAGACTCAGATAAGAGATGAAGGCACTCAAGTTAGGTTTATTGTTGAACGAAGTACAACTATTTTATCATGTACTTAGCTGGGTGTCCCTGTACTGTCCTGATGAAATGTATTTACATACTTCATGTGCTTTTATCAGTGCTAGCAGTGCTAGTGCTGAAAGACATTGACTTGCAGGCAAACATCTGCTTTTGACATGGCCTGTTACTCGTAGTATTGCTCTTGCTTACTTTGGTTTAAGCACCAGGCTCATGCTTCAGGCTCTTCCTTTCTCCTACGTTCCACCAATTATTATGTTTTTGGGTGGGAGGATGTTTACCCATCATCCTGGAAAAACATAATGCATGGACTGAAGGTGGCCCAGTGGGCTAAACATTTTTACGTGGCCACCTTACTTAGACATCCACACATTCATGCCCCATCTGTTCCTTAGTCTGCACATTCCCTCGTACACCAGATGGGCCGATTTTATTTGCTAATTGTGTTAAGTCCCATAGGTGGGTCTGAGAATGTTAGGCCTGGGACTTTGGTTGAAGAATGTAGTTTTCTGATTGAAACTTGGAGCACTGCCAGATAAGAAATATATATGGATAATGTGGATATGGTGTGTATATTTTTAGAGTATGTGGACACATAGGTATGTGTGTACTTTTGATACCACCTTATGCCCAAGCGCATATATATAGTGTTTTGTTTTGCTATACTGGGATAAGCATTGTTATAGCATGTACCACAAAACTGTATGTATGAGAAGTAAAACAGAAATTTGGAGTAGTCTCATTATAAATGAGGCCTTTATATATAATTGTTTTTAATTGGTTACCTCGCAGTACTGTTCATCCATGTTATAGGTTACATTTACTGCTGGTTGTTGCTTTCTGGTATAAGCTTTGCTGGATAGGAAACAGGAATCACTAGCTTCTCTGTTTCATTGGTAACATTGCTCTGTGATACACCAGTAGCTGACATAGAACCAGTTGTGTCTTTTGGATGCTATCTTCCATATAACCTACTGAATGGACAGTAACCAATTTATAAACGTTGTTGTGTCAGGATTTAGTATTGGTGCCCAGACACTGAACAAGATTGTTTTGAATTACATGTGCCTTAGTTAAGTAAGTGTCACTTAACCTTAAATTATGACTTACACTAAAGTGAATTTGTTTATTCAATGTGTTGTTACTATGCAACTTTTTATTTAGCACTTTGTTTTGTTGCTTTTGTTTAAACATTACAAAGGTAAAAAAGAAACAGTTTAGCAATGTTATGCACATTGTAAATGATGTTGCAGATACTTTTTTGGTTAGGGTCCCCTATTTTAAATGTACTGTGGAAGGCAACCACAAGGAATGTGGGGAAGTAGGAGACGTGCATTTTTGTCATATTCAGATTAGCCAAAATATTTCTACATCTTAATTCCTGCACTTCACAGTATTTTTTTTTTTTTGATAAGCACCCTAGAGCTTTGTTAATTTATGTGAGGTCGGGCCTGGGGGAGTTGAAGAAGAGAACGGAATGTTGTTACTAAGGATGTTAAATTGTGTGTAATCAGCTAATCGAGTAGTTGATAGAATTTCCATCAACTACTCAATTAGTTGATAAGGGGGGAAACTGCAGAGCCACAGTGTGGTTAGCTCCCGGCCCCCGAAGCTAACCATGCTGCGGCTTTGCCTTTTAAATGTATTAAGAGCCACCAGGCACTTAGTACATTTAAAAGACAGAGGCATAGCAGGGAGGCCAGGTGCAAGCTGGGAATCAGTTGATTTCCCGCTACTGCCCAGTCCCGGATGCTGCGCCTCTGCTTTTTAAGTGTATTAAGCACGACCAGGCTTTTAGTACATTTAAAAGCAGAAGTGCAGTGTTTGGGACTGGGCATGAGCTGGGACAGCTGTTTCCTTGCTCACACCCTCTTTACCTCTGCCTCTCCTGCTGCCCGAGAGAGTGTTGTGGGGAACCGGCTCTTAAGCTGGCTCCCCCAGCACCGGCTCCTGCTCCCTTCCCCCCGCTGCCTCTCTTTGATAGAGGCAGCAAGAAGTGGGGACGCAACTAGTTGAGTCACTGCTCAACTATCCGATAAGCATATGCTTATCGGATAGTCAACTACTCCCTTACATCCCTAGTTGTTATAGATAGGACTCGAATCGTGTTGCTGCTGAACATTGAGTATAAATGCTGAACATCTGAAAACAGATGGAATGGATATTATTGAACGTTGCATGGCAGTAATGGGGAATTTCTCCTGATGTTTGGAGAAGAGATTATCTGTGCTCATAGAGCACAAAGTTATACACTTCTTTGCAGTCTCATCACTAGTTGGTGGTAAGACTGTAAAGCAAAGATACTGATTATTGACGGTGATGAGCATGTTTAGTGGCTGCCCTTAGAAGTATCTGTCAGACTGACCTTTGATATCTTCAAGTCCTGAATCTTAGTGGAAGGCATAAAAGTTGCCTGCATCTGGGGTCAAGGTCCCCCAGAAGATGCACTTCTGAGACTGCACCCTGTATTGCAAAAGACAGTTGTAATGTTCCCTTTTTAGTTTTTTTTATTATTATTGCTCTTTCTTTTTTTCCTTCCTGTTTTTAAATAAAGCTGAGGAATAAAGAGCGTTCACGGACCTGCCCTAAAAAAGTGATCATGCTCTCTTCTTCCTCTACTCCACCTTCCTCTCCATCGTATCCCAGACAGCAGGTGATTGACTCTGCATGCTCTCTTCTTCCTTCCTGTTTGCACAGGTCACTAAATCAGTGACAAAATGTCTCCTCTCTTTATAAATTTTAAATTTCCTTTCCCCACATGAGTGGCTCTTTTTGGATCTCCTAAATCAGTAGCACAGCTAGAAAATGAATATATCAAAAAACTGTCGTCAATACTATTTTTGGCACAGTAGAGATTCTGGACATTTTAGTTTAGGCATGTTTTTGTCTATAGCAGTCATTTCCAATTTTGTGTTGCCGAGGAGAGTTTTGAAATGTTACGGCCATATTCTGCTTGTAAATGCATATGCACAACTCCCATTGCAGTCTTGAGATATATTCATGTCTGAGGGAAGTGTTTGACCCATTATTACCCTTGGCTTGTTCACCATGGCTTGTTCACCATTCCAAGGCAGTTTCTCCAAAAGGGAGGCTTGTCTGGCTGGAGCAGGATGGGGAATGAAATTGGGTACTCATCTCCCTGTATTGAAGGCTGCCATTTTCCTGCCCTTTAAATCCTTACTTCCCATCCTGAGTCAAAGAGGTGTGAGTAGGCATTTTTCCTCCTGGTCTTGGTAGCCATTTTTCTGGGGCTCTTGAGTGAGGTACTTTTGTTAAAGTAGCAGGCATTTGTGCAGCTTACTCCTTTCCTGCTTCTTCCAGCAGCTTCAGTTCAATGTGTCTGAATACAGATTTGCATTTCGGGTAGAGCAGTAACACACTGGGTATATGGGCTATAAAAGCCATACCTACAAGTACAGACACATGAATTGTTGGCCTTCTGGTTAAATATATCTAAAATGTTTTGAAGACATTTGTCCTTTATCAGCTCATATATGGTTAGTACATCTTTGAGCTGTATTTTTAAAGTCTCCTTCCTTAATCATAGGTATTCAATTCTGTTAGTCCCTAACATGGATGGGAATTGTATAGCTAAATTCTGAAAACACCCTTTTCTGTAGGTCAGCTTACACCTGAAAACTGAGAGAAGACTTGTGCTTTGTGTGCTGCAGCAATTAGACATAGCAGCAATTAGACATAGCAGAATGGGCACTATGATCTGTAAATCAGATCTTTAACATAATAGTGACATGTAGCGCTTACACAGCACTCTGATTCTGTAAACACTTTAAAGGTATAAGCTGATAATCTCTGTGAGATAGGCAAGTATTACCTTCTCAGAGAGGCGGTGATATACTTTGTTAATGGACGTGATTTTCTAAGTAGAAATTGTCTCCCAGTGCTATACATAGACCGTACCTTTCTGAATAAAATACACAGTGTCTTAAGTCTTCTCTACTCATCACCTCCTCCAAATATCTAGTCCGTCCTGTGTGGCTTGCTCATTTAAGCCATGACAACTGATTACTGCTGAAACCAGCTAAGAATTTACCCCCATCTCCCTTACATTCTTGGAGAGCCTTTTAAAAAATATATCTCTTTGCGCAAACAAAATTGGAAAACTCTGCTTCTTCCCTTTGGTCTGCGGACTGTTTACTCTATTTTGTTTTAAAAAAAAGCATATATGAATACCCAATTTAGAGATTTGGTTTTGAGGGCAATAGCTTTCACACAAAATGACCTCTCTTCATGAGATTGTCTTGGCCCCTACAGTGCCATTATTCACTCTAGCCTGCATCCTTCTTGACCTATTTTTTGAAAATGATTTCTCTATACTTTTGACACATTAATTCTGCCACCTCTTTTAAACTTTCCATCTGATCTTATATTACTGTGTGACTGTACTGAGTATTTCTATTATCTTCCCCCATGGTAATGCCAGTTTGAGTAATAATGTATACTAGTTAATTGACCTAATATCCTAATATAGACTTGTGTGGACTGATTCCCCCACCCCTTTCTCCTCTGAAGGTCTAAGTGGTTGATGAGTTTTAAAATTCTAGTTCTTAATGAACACCACAGTTTCCCTGCATGATGGTCTCTTTTCTGCCTGCATTGTAGATGAATCAAATGGAACATGTCCAGAATGAGAACTTGGTTTGTGGTTGTAAAGCTCATCCTTTATTGCCCACAGATAAACAGGGAGCCTGGTGCTGACCCCCTTGGGGAGCAGAGTCCCAGACAGGAAAGGGTAAAAAGAGCATGAGCAAATGGCATGGATGGTGATGACACACGTGCAGCAGTGGGGTGTGTGCAATAATCCAAGGAAAATGTTGTGTGGGGAGGGGGAAGCAGTTATCCCTGGACTGCTATTAATACACTGGGGCCACTGAAAGTGTTAGGAATGATTATTTTTGTGTGGTGTTTGCATATTTTCTTAACAAGCATTCACAAATGTTAACTACTCTTTGCTTTTCTTTTGCTGTAGATCAGCTCTAGCTCTCCCCCCCCCCCCCATTATTCTCTCTCACCTCTTTTTAATAGTTCGCTATGGCTATAGCAGAATAAGAAGGGTTATGTTTTGTGTCCGCTCTCTAGCACATGGTTGCATGGTTTCCATGGCTGCTTTCTGACTCATTAAACAGCTGGTATTCTAATATTCCAACTTGCCTTCTGAATGGCCAAGTTACAAGGGAGGAAGAGGAGGTTGCTTTACTACAGAGGATAGGAAGCCTTCATCATGAAATATTCTGTCAATGAGAAGAGTGAAAGGAGGTTTAAAGTATGCAAGGAAGGGACTATGCAGTTGAAAGAACTGGGTTCAGATTAACCAGTTAACTGCCACCTGAAGTTAAGTTCATAAGTTAAATTATAACTGGGAGCCAGCTTTAAAATTGCCCCAACTTACAAAGAAAGTCCTCTTCAGCAGTCTCATGCACCTGCCAAGTGGGCAACATGTTTTTGGACTGCCATTGGAAGCTTAATAAGCTTGTCTGCAGCAACACAGGAACCCTGTGTTTTGTAACAGGCTTTAGTTTTACTTTTGATTAGTAAGAGGGAGTGAATGGGGCTGACAAAAATGCTTAAAGTAGAAAGAGTGAAACTGGTTAATGTGTCTAAATGGGAAAAAAGCATGACCAGTAACTGGCTTTTAGCACAGTTGTGGGCTCTGTTTTTTTGCCAAGGCAGTGAGATTGTAACCATGTTGATCGCAGGGTGTTAGAGAGACTAGGTGGATGAGGTAATGTCTTTTATTGGTCTCAAAAGCTTATCTCTCTCACCAAAAGAAGTTGCTCCAATAAAAGATATATTACCTCACCCACCTTATCTGCTTGTTGTCATAGCATATTTTATCTGGCAGTCCACACAGTCATCCATTTGGGATTATCTCAACAGACTGAGCCTACCATAGGTAGCATACAGATGTGTTTATATTTGCCATTGTTTACTTTTCATCCCTCCTGCAACATAGCTTATTGGGAACTGCATGATACTCAGGGTTATTGCCCTGTCTACCTGGAAGTACAAACACATGGATTTGTTAGCCAACCCCAGTAGGCATTGTTCTGTATCACAACAACATTGGTGTATAACAGATTAGCAAAATGAGTTCAAGCACTGCCAAGATTAGGAGAGCAAGGGGTGTGGCATGTGAGGACTGAGGCCTATTGCCAAACTGTAGTAGGATGGCTAGTGGCGTGGAGGTGCTGGGGCAGGAGTGGGAAGCTTGCATGAAATTTTTCAGTAAACCTGGCTCCAGCCAGCGCTGCTGAGTCCCTTAGTTTTCATAAGCCCTACAGCTTTCTACATCCCAGTATTTTAAAGGAGCCAATGAGGTCATTGCTGGGAGCTGAATTCATAGAACTTGGACTGCCTTACCCCAAAATGAGTGTTTCTGTGCACAAAGCATGAGGAATGCAAACCATTGTGCATAGGTCTGTCAATCTCAGTAAAGAAAATCCTTTTTAAAAAGAGCTGGGGTGAAGCAAGCACCAAGGATGGAGCTGCTATGGGTACTATAGCCATGCCTGTTGGTTAGTGGTGAGCTTACTTTGGATGTGAATGTCAGACAGAAGCTGTGCACTTGCTTAGTTTTAGGTGCAGACGGTGAGTTCTAAATGACTCTCTAATTCAGCTGTTTCTCCCTAGCCGTAAGATGGTGAATCCAGAGCTTTGCTAGTGCAGAATTGCAGTCCATTTTGGATCTCAATTAGAAGAAATGAAGGAGTCTTCATCTGGGAGCTTTTCTTGCTATTCTGTCTTGCATGTGGGCTTTCATGCCTTTTGTCTGGCATTGGTCTTGTTGTGAGCTTTGTTTCTGTTCCTTTTTGGGTTTGGTTTTTCTCCTCGTTTTGTTTATTTCTTCCCCTGTTCCTTATCCTACAGAGATATCCTCGTTTTTTTTCTGGTGACCAAGTGCCTGAGCAAGCATTGAATGTTGAGCAGAGGGCTTGCCAGCTGGCTGCCCTCCTGGAGCCGAGGCCGCCAATCAGGCAACAGGTGACTACTGCCCACTCTGGCAGTCTGTATCTGTTTAAGAGAATGGGGTGTTGGGTGGCTGCTGGCATCAGTGATTTAGATGAGTGCACTGACTGTTACTCTACACCATGTTACAGATACCATACACAGCTCTTGTTTTGAGCATTTTTTTTACTCCACTTCTTTCCCTGTCAATTCTTAACTCTTTTCTTACTTGCTGAAGGTGCATATCATTTGCCATTTCATAAAGTAGAATACAATTGACAAGGATGATCAATGCCAAAGTTTCAGGTCATATGCTAGTCACAAGCTAGGCTCAAGTCATGAAATGGCTCTCTGCTAAAACAGAGGTAATTGGTGTGAAGCACCACTTGTTTCTGGGAGTGGGAACAATTGTTTACCCTTTTTCAGGCACTAATCTGTGGCCATGAAGGGAGCCAGTTTTGTGTCATGCTTCCAATAGCACCATTTCCAGCAGTAAAACTGGCTGCTTGTGCAGTTTCTCTCTGGTTCTATCACAAACTTCTGAAGTTATTTTTGTCCTCTCACCCAGCTATCCTCTTGACCAGTGGGAACCTGCCACTTTGGGCTGTAATTTCTCCCTAGCCTCTCCCCCATATGCACCACCACCACCCCAACATCACCACACAGTCATGCTTGGGAGGTCTTCACCAGTACTTTTTGGCAGGTAGTAGGAAGCTTTTAAAGGCAAATGCCATCTACTTCTGAAGAATCTTTCTAAATCAGTTTTCTAGCACTCATTCATTATTGGGCCTAACCAAGTGAGTTATAAGATCAAGAATACATATTCCTGCGCCTCCAGAAATATAATCTATGCTATCATGTGCCGAAAGTGTCCGTCTGCTATGTACATTGGACAAACGTCTCAGACACTTCGCCAAAGAATCAATGCCCACAAAACAGACATTAGACAGGATCACAAAGAAAAAACAGTTGCTTGCCATTTCAACCAGAAAGGACACTGTCTCAATGACCTACTCACCTGCATCCTACTTCAGAAGACATTCAAATCTGCACTTGAAAGGGAATCCTCTGAACTGGCATTAATGCTAAAATTCGACACTCTCTGCAGGGGAATTAACAAAGACTCCAATTATCTCACCCATTACAAAGATAGCTTCCCCAATTATCACCTCTAATACTATTAACTCACAGACATTTCCCCTTCCCCACCTCTAATATCATTAACTCACTGGCATTCACCTTCCTTCCCCCCTCCCCCCTGCAACCCCCTCCTGTTCTGAAATGTGATTTGTCCTTTTCATATGTGTTCATTTTTTTAAATTGTATCCTTTGGTATATATGGTTGTGACTATTTTCTTCCACTATTTGATCTGAGGAAGTGGGTCTGGCCCACGAAAGCTCATCATCTAATAAACCATCTTGTTAGTTTTTAAAGTGCTACATAGTCCTGTATTTTGTTTCAGCTACACCAGACTAACACGGCTACATTTCTATCACTATTCATTCATATGAACTGACTTCCCAAACATGAGCTGTGTGTAAAAAGATTCAGTGGTGTTGTCTTAAGCCTGCAAACAGGTCCAGGGTTTCTGCTGGGTGTCACAGCTTTCACAAGCTTCCTCAAAGTGAAATTTTGCAAGAATAAAGTCAATTTGATTCTGCTGCTCTTTGGGGAAGCTGTTAGCAGCAGCAGCAGAAGCAACCACTGGTGAGAAAGATTCATGCTGTGGCTGGGACAGTTGGAAATCTTTTCAGCCATGGAAAACTGGGGGAGAGGTCACATTCAGATTTATTAATACCAATTAGTTGAAGACTGATATGGTGGATGATGCCTGCATCCTCACATGCATTTCAGCAACCGAAGTTGAATGCGCATAAGCAAAAATATACTTATCTTTTTGTATTGGTCTGTGGCTAGCAGGTGTAGCCCTCTGACTGTTCATTGTCAGATTAATGTTTTCAAGCCTATGGGATTGAGTGGAAAAGATGAATGGGATTAGTCCCATGTTTCTCTTTCCCATTAATACTGTGTGATTTTTGTGAAGATGTGGAAGAAGCAGAGAGCATGATGTAAGGAGAGATAGAAGGTAAGGTGGAGAGGAGGAAAAGAGGAAACAGACATTGAACCTGAGGCACCATGAAGTAGTCTATTAAGAAGAGAAAAAGCAGGAAAATGGAGTGAAGCCAAGAAGAGAGAAAGTAACTAAAACAAGAGATTTAATAAATTACACAATTAAAATTTACCGTTTAATGGCTAAGTGAAATGAACTGAGTACCCAAGTGAAAGGGCACATTACATTGCAAGAGTTAGGAAAGCACAGTTATTCTTCACCCTGCTAATGGACTTGGTCCTTAGGCTAGTATATGTCAGGTACATTTTCAAACTCTGCATATAAGATCTAAATACAGCTATTTTTGTGGGTCACATAAAAATAGCTCTGAGTTTTTTTTCCCTTTCTCACAGTGGTTGATTTCTTTTTTAAAGGATCAGCTATTTGGACTTTCAGAACATTTTCTCACCAGTACCTCCCAATTTGGACTAAAATTATTTGATTTCATTGCTTTTAATTATTGTCTTTTGCATAGTTACTTCAGGTGCTTCTTAGCAGCTGGCGCTAATGAACCAGGGGAGGTGTTGTGGGTTGAGAGATGCATGCTGAGATAGTGATTTCTGAGTTCTGCTATGGAGAAGCCATTTCAGAGTTACATGGATTATCAAGTTGGGAACTCTGTCTGGGCCTTAGGGTAAGCAAAGGCCGAAGAGGGACTAGTGCTCATACTTTTTCTTCAAGAGACTTCCCTGTTGGTATTCCACAGCAGGTGTCGGTGTGTCCCCATGCTGCAGACCAGATTCTTTACAGTAGTGCCTGGTGGGGGGGGGCATGCATGTGTGGTGAGCAGGGTGCACATGTGCAGCGTGGTGCAACTGCACATGCACAAGCACCTTCCCCTCAATTCCTTCTAACATTCCCAGAGCTCGGCAGTGCTATTCACTCAGCATTGTTTTCTCTAGATAAATAGTTTGTTTCCATCTTTTCATGTTGTTCTTCCCTTAGATGAAACCAACAAAGTTCCTCCCCTCTCTCCCCTCAAAGAAAGCCTCTACAAAACAAACAAACAAACAAATCTGTTGTCCAAGTTGTTTTCCCCCCGTTGTTCCAGCTTTGCCCTGTTGGACAGAAGTGCCTGGATCACCAGGATTTAAACGCTGCTCCACCTGTAATGACGTGATGACTGTCTGTTGGAGATGGGCAAGGTGTGTGAAATGTCTAGGTGAGAGTCACGTGCAGCAGGATTGCCACCAGTATGCCAAGCTTAAGGTGTGTATGCGTAGGAATAGAGGCTTCTGCCTTAAGATGCTTATGCTTGAAAAAGCACAGCACCCGGCCTCCAATCCAGGCACTCAACAGCCTGAAAAGCAGAAAGCTGACGGGGAAAAATCCCCTAAGAAATGCGCCTCCTCTTTATCTCATAAATCACAGTTGCCCAAGCAGCGCGTTACTGAGAAATCGGCACCAAAAGTCGAGGCCGCACCGCAATGATGCACTCGGTGTGTCTGGCACCCAATGTGACATCACTAAACAGGGTACGCAAAAACCCTGCACCGAGGTAAGACCTAAATGTGCAAGCCTTAAGAGGTTCAGTGCCCATTGTGGCAACGGAGAAACCAAAGGCAGAACCATCGGTACTGAGGCTACTTCAGTCTGCACCACAATCTCCACTGGCACCAGACTCTGGTACCATCAATGCAGCTGCTGGTGCTACAACTTTATTAGTGCCACAACAGTCATGGGTGCTGATGGACATGCAGTCAACATTGGCACCACTTATGGTGCCATCATTAACAGCACCATCTTCACCAGTACCGAGATACCTCCATCACAAGGACCTCACTGTCTCTTCCACCTTTATTCCCCATTCCTTGGCACCGATACATTGCTGGCCACAGCGGCGCTGAGGCCCCTCTTCTCCTACGCTTCTATCCAGCAACAAAGATGATGGAGGGGAGTTGTTATTTTCACGTCAGCTGGCACCGAGGTTTCGGTACCGGCCTCCCCACCCTCCTTTTAGACATTCAGTGGGGGGGCCACAGTCCTCCCTGGGGACCACACCCGTGGATACCGCCGTCATACCGTACAGCGCACAATTGCAGTTATGGAGACCATGCACATATAATTATAGGAGAAAACGCACTAAAAAGACGGACAAACAACCTGCACCCTCCACTCTAGTCTCCATCTCCTCAGAGGCTTCAGAAGGATGCACCAGATCAGCAGACCCATGAATCAGGACCTGATATGTCTTCTGACACCAACTCATCGTCTCAACAACAATGTGGTTTGGGCAGATAACAGTACAGATGTAACCAAACCAATGCTGTGAACCAGCCACCTCAACAAAATAAGCACATTTGAAGCATTGGTCAAGGGACTGAAAACATCTTCCCCAGCTCCAGAGTTGCTACCTTCTGACAAAGCATTCAATCATCAATTTCTACCCTTTTACACCGCATGGCAGGCCCTAATATCTGACAAATGGATGTCACAATCAATCTGTATAGGATACAGTATCCCCTTTATCTCCATCCCCCTGCTCACCCACCTACCCTGTCCCTCTTCAGGGACCACTCACGATGAAATCTTACAACAGGAGGTTGATCATCTCCTCTGAGTGATGAGGGGAGTGGATTCTACTCACCCTACTTTTTCACTCAGAAGAAAAATGGTGAATGGTGCCCCATTTCAGATCTTAGAACCCTCAACAAATTCGTAAAAAGGCAAAAGTTCAAGATGGTGATGCTGACTACCATTTTCCTGCTCTGGAGCTGGGTGACTGGTTTTCATGTCTTGACTTTGAGGATGACTATGTTGATGTGCACATTCATCCCGCTCATAGGCACTTTCTCCACGTTGTCCTAGGTATGTGCCACTGCCTGCCATTTGGACTGTCCATGGCACCAAGGGTCTTCTCCAACATGCTTACAGTAGCCACTGCCTACCTAGGGAAAAATAATTTGTGAATTTCCTTATCTTCACAACCGCCTGATAATGTCCAAATCGGAGGCACAGTCCCAATACAATATTCATACAGTCATGTCTTGCTTTCATTCCTTGGGCCTACTAATAAATGAAACAAAGTCAATCCTCATACCGGTACAGTCCATACAGTTTATAGGAGCACAGCTCGATTCAACCGTGTCAATAACTTCCTTGCCCATTGAAGGGGTCAAGAAATCAGGGACCTGGTTCAAAAGCTTTACATAATGCCGCGGGTCACGGTGCATAATTGCCTTCAGCTGCTCAGCCACATGGCAGCATGCAATCCAGTGGTCCCCAGTGCATGCCTATTCATGAGTTGCCTGCAGTGTTGGCTCAGTTAGGTGTACAGGCCAAACTACCATCCCCATACCAGGCTTCTCTCCATTTTGTTCATTGTAAAAAATGCTATCTAATGTTGTTCATAGCTCATTACTTTCTGTTCCAGAGTGTTTTATCTTTTTGTTTGTTGCCATTTAATATAACATGCATGTGGAAGATAAATGAAGTGACCTTAAGAGAAATTAAAGCTTAGAGTGGATTATAGGATGAAATTCACTCTTAAGTTTTTAATGGAGGCACTTCCATTGTAGCAGTGAGGATGCTCAGGGCTGGGGATATGAGGTAGTTTCCTTTTCTCTCCACTCCCAGGAAGGCAACTTTATTTGGCCTTTGTACTTTAAAAACTGGGAGGGGGGTCTCCCCTTGTCCCGAAATACGAAGTACATTCAAACCTGCCTCACACTCCTGCCTCAGCTGTAACACAGATTGCATTTGGACAAAGTAGGAGGAGCACCTAAGATGGACTTGGGCTCTTCATGAACGTTTATCTAACTGCATTGCAGGGAGCAGTAATGCACAGAATGTGCGGTTTCTGTGCTGGTGCTGGCTTCCGAAGTAAGAGAAGAGGGAGTGAATTTAAATGGCAACAAAGTTTGGTGCCTAACTTCCCTTCAGTTAAGGAAAGGGAGGAGGTAATGCAGACAGTCACCTCCCTGACTCTACTTAAAGGTTCCTTTGTGATCTTTTGGGTTTTTAAAATCCGTGTCCCTTCTTGATTTTTTTCCAATGTATTTTATTTTTTAGACAGAGACTGAACCGTCTCGTCGATTCTTTGTTGACCAGTGGGAGCGCTCCCTTAGCCTCCGCACTTCCAACCGCCCTTCTTCACCCTCATCTGACTCTCTTCGACAGGTAGAATGGCCTGGGTCATGCAAGCTGCACTCAGCTGTACCCGCTGCCCCACCCACCTCCCACCAGCAGAGGATGTGCCACAAGAGATCTAGGCTTGTAATGCTTCATCACCTTGATATGGCTGAGTTTAGTGGACATACACACTTGCACATAGGAAAAGCCAGATGCAACCTGTGGCATATCTTGGTTATTCCAAGCTGTACAGTCATTTGGAACAAAACATACTTAAAGTTTAAATGGAAAAAAATCTGCTGAGTCTGATTTGGGGTCCTCAATAGCCTCCAATCAGCTTTTTCCAATACTGGAATTCTCTTGGCTATGGAATAATCTACAGGGACATGAAAGCTTTTTTAATGTTTGTTGCTTCCCTTTGAGAGCTTGATCCAAACTATGGCATGGTTTTGTATGTATATATTTAAGGAGACAAAGCAGGACTAATGGAGGAAAATCACTTGTGGCTTCCTGGTTCTTCCAATGTATAAAGGATATATGTCCATGGCACAAAAAGTCACTGCCCAGAAGAATCCAGTAAGTGAAATAGTATAGGTGTTGCAGGTCAAGATTTTCATTATACCTGTGTTGGTTGACAGCACCCACTGTGTGCAAAGCTGCTCACAGTATAGATAGAAAGAAAACTCTACTCTCAGGCTGTTTACAGGTCTGGTTGAAAAAATTGTTGATGGAAAATTGGGGCTTCAACTGAATGGAATTTTTCACAAAAAAACGCTACTTTCCATGGTGCAAAAATTACAGCATGAAACATACTAACAGGATTTTGAGAGAAAAGAAAAAGTGTTGTTTTTTACCGAAAAGTCAATTTTCCATTTTTGGGGTGGAAGAGACACTTTCCAATCCGCTCCACAAACAGTAGGAGGGGAAGGACATGAGTAACAATGTTCATATCACAATGTTCATATCTGATCAGCTGTTTGTCGGCTCAGCACGATAGTTTGGACACGCGGGTGTCGACATCAAAGGTATTTGTCGACCATCCAGGTAAGCCTCCTGGGATGAGGTATACCTGGGTGGTCGACAAATACCTTTGATGTCGACACCCGCGTGTCCAAACTATCGTGCTGAGCCGACAAACAGCTGATCAGATATGAACATTGTGATATGAACGATTATTTAAATCGCCGCTTCATTTTACTATGTCTGGTAGCCTAATCTACATGCCTCTGGCGACAGAGGCATGTAGTCTAGACGTACCCTTACTTTCACTTACACTTGTACAGTGCAGACACACAGAGATTATGGAGTTACTACTTATATGGATGGATGCTTATCTACTACAGGATGGACCTTTCTGGTTTGGCACCCCGGGGAGCTTAGTGGTCCTGAACCAGGGTGTTTGCCAGACCAGGGAAGGTCAGGGCTTCCCCCTCGGCCATCAGTCCTGTTTCCAGGCACCAACCCCGGTCCCTGGGCTCTGCCCCCAGCCCTGGCCAGAGTTGCACTCCTAGCCACACCAGCAGCCATTGTCCAGCCCTATTGCTGCCAGCCCCAGCCTAGGCAGTGCTCCCTACTTATGGCCTGGGCTGCACTCCAGCTGCTGCCATGAGCTGGGGCTGCACTTCTGACCCTAGGCCGCCCCCACTCCCAGCCAGATTCTCTGATCTAGCAATATCCATGGTCCTGACAGTCCACAGATGTTGCCAAACCAAAGAGTACTGGATTTTTGAATTTCAACCTGTTGATATCAGTGATGATTGTCTGGCTCTGCCCCTAGCTTCTCTAGGCTTATTCTTTAGGAAACATTCCTGAAATATTGAATTTCCAACTCTTTAGTGTTTCATGATGCTACAGTGCTCACAAACGTGAAGATATTAACATCAGTAATTGATTGGTAATTACAGCTGTGGAATCCAAGAATAGACTGTTTGAATTCCTAATTTTTTGTAAAATATTACTATTTTACAGATCATGGGACTATAATCTGTGTCATGATTCTATAAACATATATTCTCTAATTTTGGGAGTACTACAATTTGCACCAAAATGCAGAAGGAAATGGAATCCTGTGGTTTCCATGACAAATGATGGGGGTCATAGAGATGAGCGTTCCATGGGGACAGTCAGAATCCCTCTTGTACTGTGAATGTTTTGGCCATGTTTTTACACAGGGACATTTCTGAGCATGTAGTAAAGAAACTCTGCAGTGTAAGTAAGAGAATTTCTGGTTGCAAAAGGTTTGTTGCTTCAGAGTAGTGTATCCCAGGAACGTTGAAAGGGCTGAATATGGAAGGCTGAATCAGTTCTACATTTACTGATGAGACTCCAGCAATGCCTTCTCTTTGTAAGTCAGAGAAACAGTCAAAATACTCCTTAATCTGAATAAGTGACACTGCCTGGCTTGCTGCCTGCTGCTGTATTGAGACACATATGCGGTGCTTGTGATAGGGTTGCCTTTCTTTAGAAGTTTTTATTTTCTTAACCACTTAATTACTGCCAAATGTCATGGTGTTTTTTTTTTATATATATATAATTGTACTGCTAGTCCTGCACTATCCAACTTAGCTAGAAAACAAACCGTAAACTCCTTTTGGGCCTCATTTCCTGAGTCAAGAACCACTTGGATTCCTAACCATCTAAATTGAAAGATTTGTTGCAACTTAGTTTGATCCAGATGCTCCAAGTTATAGAGCTAGCAAAAACACCCTTAACAAAATAGCCTACAAGTAAAATTGGCGTGCATACTTGGTGTCATGTATACAGAGGTGCAATCTAATGGGTAGGATCAGAGGCTCCCCATAGAATTTCCAGAAAAATTCTAGAACCCCTTTGTGTACTGTGAATAGGCATTCTGGCAACAGAAGAAGACGTAAAGATTTTTAGGAATTGCTGTGACTCAGTCTAAGCTTCAGGGTTTCTTCTCCCTGGAAACAACTTGTTCCCTATTGCTAAGCACCTGTGTGAACGTACATGAACAATTCTTTGAATTTAAACTTTATAAAATACCTCTTTTCTACTTATTTCCCCATTGTCCTCCTATCTGGAAGCTAAAACTAGACCTAGCTTTGTTCCTCTCAGAGGAAAACAAATTTTTGGGTCCTTTATATGCAAAATATCTTCTGAACAAAGAAGAAAACATACTACTAATCTCAGAGTGACCAATTTCAGACTTCCCTCTTTTTAGTTACTGTTACAGTTAGTGCTGGGCTGTGCTGGTGTTCACTGATGATGCTGATTCTGCTGTTACTACACAATCACTCTGTGTTGTCCACTGTCCTGGCATGGTTTGACCTCTCTGCACCTTTTCATCACTTATTCTTTTATCATTTTGTCATCTTTTTTAATTTGATTTTTTCTTTCCTCGCTTCCCTGCTGTTTTGTCCCTTCCATCTGGTAGAAGTATATAAAGATGTACACAGGCGGAGTGAGCTCATTGGCTGAGCAGATAGCCAATCAGCTTCAAAGGAAAGAACAGCCCAAAACCCTTCTAGACAAGAAGGAACTGGTAAGAGAATGACATACTGAAGATGGTATGTGTTTGTGATTAGAAGTTCTGTAGCTCTGCAGTGATTTTCGGTCTTTAGTTGTCTCGAAAGGGGCTGGTGATACTTTGTAACAACTTTACAGAGGTCTTCATTTTCTTCCCTAGCCCTCCCCTTGTTTTCCTTGTAAAGTCTGTTGTAATCTACTGCCAACATGCTTGGACCAAGGATGCTAACTTGAGAGACTGAGAAATCCTGAATCGCAAATGCACAGAGCAGTGTTTGATCCAAGCAGGATACTTCTGGATAGCAGTGGCCTTGGAAAGATCTTTATTCACAAATCTCAAGGAGACTGAAATATAGGGCTAACCAGCAGCTCACTGGATTCGTGATGCTTCTGGCAATTAATGTGTTGAGTTGTAATTTGAAAATCTTAGTTCCAAAACTCGCCTTAGTCTCATGCAAGTGAATACAGAAGTTAGGAACATTCCAGAAGTAAAGGTCTCATCTGACTTAGCAAGGCTGTGCATCTTATGCTTCCTTCAATCGGATGTCTCTAGGTCAGTAGCCTCTTGTGAGATCTTTAGCTCCTCTATTCAAGGAGCTGGAAGCTGTAATCTAAAGGGAAGCCTTATTTATATTGGTGTATGGACTGAAACCCACATGGCCTTTCTTCTTGAACTTGAAGGTTATTTATTGTCTCTAAGTGGCAGTTGTATGCTTGGTGCATATGCCCTGGGTAGAAGTCACAGAATGGCCCCTTCTAGATGCTCAGTATCCATAGATGAAAAAGGTGACCTTGGGAGGGAGGTGAGATTGCACAAATAACCTTGGTCCTGCCTTATCTCTGTCCAGGGCTCGCTCAAAAAGGAATTCCCCCAGAACTTGGGAGGCAGCGATGTCTGTTACTTCTGTCGCAAGCGGGTCTATGTGATGGAGAGGCTAAGTGCTGAAGGCAAATTTTTCCACCGCAGCTGCTTCAAGTGCGAATACTGCGCCACCACCCTTCGCTTATCATCTTACGCCTACGACATTGAAGATGGTAAGAGAAATTACCTGTTGTCTTCCTAATATACCAAAAGCATTCTCTTACTGTACTAGAGCATTGCCTTAAGATCTCAGCGCTGGCTTCACTTTACAAATATTGACGGGTGAGGAGCAATAATAGCTCTTCCAAAAATACCACCTTTCGTTTAACTGTATATGGGACTGTATCATTTTGGCCACCTCTCTTACAAGTCTATCACATACAGAACACCAGACCCAATACTGTTCCCTCAGTCACCACTTCTAACAAATATTTCTATATACAGCTAATTGGTCACTTATTCCAACTCTTTGTTTCCCCATTCACCTAGTTGAATCTGTACATAGATACAAAAGTGGAAGGGACCTCAAAAGATCACTGTGTGATGCATTGTCACACAACCAAGAGTAATAAAGTCTTTCAATCCTGAGAAAGAGGAGGGGAAGGGGAAATCTCGGAACCATCATCAGCCAGCCTCTCAATGAAGCATACATGGGCCTTTACAATGTGCCCCCTCAAGGACATCAAATGTGAATTGCCAGACCAAAAGGCCCAGTGGTAGCTCTGAAGGACACATCTAAAAGAAACAATAGTAGCCTTCTTATTAATCAAAGACTAGGGAGGGAAGACATTCTTGGTCACTGCTGTAGCCTGGGCATTCAGAAGTGGCAGACTATACAATAGAATCCTCTGCTTGTCAATCTGAGGGTACGTCTAGACTACATGCCTCTGTTGCCAGAGGCATGTAGATTAGGCTACCAGGCATAGGAAAATGAAGCGATGATTTAAATAATGGCCGCTTCATTTAAATTTACATGGCTGCCGCGCTGAGCCGACAAACAGCTGATCAGCTATTTGTCGGCTCACCGCGGTAGTCTGGACGAGCGGGTGTCGACATTAAAGGCATTTGTCAACCACCCAGGTATGCCTCCTGGGATGAGGTACATTAGGATCCTTCCTGAGCTGCATGGGTGGAAATAGTTTCTGCTGTCTGCTCCAGTGTTCCCTCTGACAGCAAGCATTTACACTGTTTTCTGCCAGCAATCATCCAAGTACCAGTCAGTGCCACGTGAAGACTTACCTGAGTCTGTTCAAATAAAGCTGTGTCTTTACAATGCTGATAGCACTGAAACCCAAACTAACATTGCTTCCTGAGCAGCAGTGTCCAGCTAGAACTCTGTGGTACTTCACAGAATCTTAGAAAGGCAGGGCAAGAGGGGACCTCAAAAGAACATCTAGTCCAGTCTCTGTTTTAACACTGAGACAGGATTAGGTATATCTACACCAAAAAACATGCCTATTTGTCTAACTGTTCTTTAAAACCTCAAATGATGGCAAGTTTGTGATCTCCCTAGGTAATCTCTTTCAATACTTTACTATTAGTTAGAATGTTTTCCTTAATATATAACTTAAATCTTTTTTGCTGCACATACATCTGATTTTTCTTGTTCTATTCTTGGTGGATAATTAGAATTATTGACCATTGTCCTCTGTATAAAAGCTCTTAATACGTTTGAAGATTGTTATTCAATTCCTCCCATCCTTAGCCTCCTCTTGTTTACACTAAACATGCACGATTTCTCCACCTTTCCCTCATAGATCAGGCTCTTAAACCTTATATCATTTTTGTTGCTTTGTCTGGATTTTTCCAGCACGGTGCTGAAATCTTTACACAATATCCCAGCAGAAGCCTCATCAATGCAAAATAAAGCAGAACAGTTACTTCCCATGTCTTATGACACGCATGTCAGTACACAGAATATTAGCGTTTTTCACAACAGCAACCCACTGTAAAAAAGTACCAAGGGCAGATGAGAAATGTATCCAATATTTCACTCTGTTTTCTCTGAGAGAAGACTAGAGCCATTCATTTCTTAATATTATTCATCTATCTGGATTAACAGATGAATCACTGTTCTGTAGTCAGCAGTATTAAGGGAAGCTGTGAGATCTAAAAGAATCACTATATGCCACATGATCTGATTACATTGTCAAAAGGAGGCTAATAAGAATATTGTGGTCTTGGTTTCATACTCAGGTCTAAAACCAGATTACAAGGAATTACGAAAGTCTGTGGACCAGTGGGATAGCCAGAAGCCTGACTTCGGGTGGGTGGACAATAATGGAGGGGGAAATGGGACAAGTGGGATGGGGGGTAATCTCCATCTCTGCTCCCTATCTGGAGCAGGGGAAGCCCCAACCCTATTTCCTGGCTAGAGCGCTGGGTAAGCCTGGATACAAAGTACATGAACGAACCATGGCTCTCAGGCCCATCCGTGGCTATGCATCTGCTGCAGATTCATAATATTGTCAGTGATGCCTTTCTCATACCCTTATCAGAAATGTTCCTCAGAAAAGGACAGCTGGACAGAGGGCAATAGTTGGAGAGATTGGCAATATAAAGAGCTGTTTTTTTGAGCAGGGACATCTCAAATGTGAAATTTAGTCACTTTGTTTTCCTGAAAGGAGACAATGTTTTCAAATAATGGACCCCCAGTGTTCTCTGGGTAGATTTTACCAGCCAGGAAGACCATGAGTCCAAATTGTAGGTTGCAGCCTTAAGCCCTCCAAGCAACTTCCAGAGAGCAACCTGGACTACATTCAGATGGATCCCATGAAGTCTGTTGATTAGGAAGATGAGACTGTAAATATAATCTCTTTTTGGGGGGAAAGGGGGGAGAAGTCTCAGTGTATTATCAACATAGTCCCTTCAGAGTTAACACCAATCCCCTCCCTCATCCCTCTGCCAGTGGTATTCATTCTTGCTTTTCCCAGAAGTGCTTCTGCCAGCTTTTCATGTGATGATGGCTTTGTTCTTCACACACTGCCGCATTGTTAGTGTGTGATACCACAGAAGCCTCAGCTCTGCTTTGGTGACTGATTGGATGTCTGTTAAATGGCTGTCAGGCTCCCAATGGAATAGGCACTGTTTAGGGCGGGGGAGAGGAGGACTTGAGTTAAAACTTCAGAGTGTTTGTCTCCAGGCGTACTGAGGGAATAGGGCTGGGAAGTGGCCATAGCCAAATAAATCTCATTTGAGGTAGTGTTATATTGTATAGGTCTAGATATTGTGTTCTCAATGTTACCCCTTTCTCTTTTATTCTGACTGCAGGTAAATTCTACTGCAAACCTCACTACTGTTACCGACTCTCTGGTTATGCTCAGAGGAAGAGACCAGCAGTGGGTCCTCTGTCAGGAAAGGTAACTTTTTATTCTAATCTGACATGTTGGGTGTAATGGATTTTGGTCTTTGCTACTAGAAAAATGTATGTTTTTGCAGAGGGTAGAAGAATTTATAATGAATCACATTGTTTAAATGTTGTTGTGAGGTCTTACCTCTTTGTAAAGTGGTAAGTTCAAGAGACTTTATGTTGTAATTAGTAACCCCTTGCATTTCCCCCCCACACACAGTCTAGGATTTTGATATCTGTTTAATCTGGAACTGTAATAATTACTGAAACCTATGTAAAAACCAGAAAAACTAGAACTATCGAGTTGACAGCCTTTCTGTTTATTGGAAAGATTTGGTTAAAATGAAGCCAGTGATTTTTGGTTTCTCATCAGGAAATGCAGTCTCATCTGTGAGGGCTGGGTTTGGAGTTCCACTTACATGGGTCAAAATGGAGGGCTTCCTTAAGAGGATTTGCCTTGCATTAATAGGAATCTATTACTAGAAAGAAACAGTTTTTTCTCACTTAATACTAACAGGTAGAATCATGCTAGGAAAAAAGGGCCAAGGCATACTGTGTAGTGTGTAGTACAAAAAGTGCTCCCTTCTTTACTCCCTGCACCCCATGAATCATTGGTTGGGCTAATTTTTCTGTTCACTTGGATTCTTTCTTCCCACACTTCTTTGGGAAATTGCATTGTAACAATGAGCAGTATTACCTATTAAGCTTGCTTTCAGTTCTCCCTTATCTTCTTAGAGCTGGACTCTCTGAGATGTGGAGCTTTTGTTTCTGTAGTAAGAGCTGTCTGCCCTCCCCCGTGCCATACCTATACCATAGCAAGTTAATGCTGTGCCTCCTTCATTCCTGTGCATGGAAACAATGCTGCCATGCTTGTTTCTGAAGTTGAAGGGCAAAAAATGAGTCATTTTGTAACTCCTGTGAGCAAGCTGTAGAAATGCCACCTATTTTGGTTTTCTTAAGTACATAAACTGATCTGCAGAACATAAATAATCAGATGATGATGCACTAGTTAGGCCGGACTCAAGTGTTTTTGCCAGACTCTGCCTAACCTGTAAATAATCACATGCTGCAGTGCAAGATGTGTTTGGGTGTGTTCAGTATTAAAATGTACTACCCCAAATTAAAAGTAAAAACTTCTAAGGGGTTTCCAATGTCTTCTCTGATTTTTTTTTTCTTTTTTCCCTCATTTCACAGGACAACAAAGGATCCCTGCAGGACACAATGGCAGCTGAAGCAAGTGGACGGGCAAATTCCATAGTCATTTCAGCAGAGAGGACTCCAGGTAGCTCCGCTTCATTCTTTGGCAGGGTGGTGCAGTACTCTCTCGGCCTCTTTGGCAGAGTTAGGGTGGCAAGCCAGCGCCTGTACAGCACAGTTTCTTCAGTCGGGCGCCAGGTAGCCCAAAATCCTTTGGACTCTTTTTTCATGTGTCAGCTGATGGCTTTTGGGGTGCCCTTTCTTTATGTCCAGTCAGAGGTTCTTGTGCAGATCCTGGGAGAGTTTTATCGGCAGCCTGCTGACCAGTAAGATTTTAACATGCCCCAACTTTGTAAGCTGTATAACTTGTGTGAATTTTGAGTATTGTATAAAAGCTTGAATATGTTCTTTTGTGTTGTGGCTTTGGGGCCTGGATTCTGTTCTTTTAAGGGGATTGTGTAAAATCATTCTTGGTGAACACAGATACTCAGTTCAGGAATGAGCCCAAATAAAAAGGCTTGATTGGTGAAGTCGGCATATTAGTCTTAGTAGAACTGAAGTAACTGTTGAACTACGGTAACTCATACACTGGATTTCTATGTTCACCTGAATTCTGGCTATAGTGCCCATCCTCCCAAACTTCTCATTAACCTGGTATCTAGATTAAAAAAAAAATCCCTGTTGATGTCTTTGTAGTATGGCTATTTAAGAATTCTTGGTGTCTTCTGTAGCTAATGGAAACCAATTCTTTAAACGCTTGAACTCCTTGGTGCTGGCAGATCGTGGTGCTCTCTCCTCATTATCAGAACATGTGCTGCTCTTGGCAAGTTGTTTTGGGAATTGGGTTATTACAGCATGTGTTATATTGCTCAGCATAGTCTGCTCTATCTGACAACTCTAATTCCTTCTAACTCAGGAGAAATGTTCTCTTTGTGCCACAGACTCTCATCTGGCCCAGCTCCTCAATTGTCCTCATTAAAAAATGCAATTTAATGGAGCAGGAGAAGTTGAGAGGGGTGCAAGAGGGAAGAGAGAGAGGTGGTTTCTAGTGTATGAGCAGTGAACCCTGTAGATAAACTAAGTCAATTGCTTTTAGGAGAGAGAGAATATTAAAATAGTCACACTTTGAGTAGCAAATGTCCCCAAATTACAGTACTAGCTTTAAAAGATCTTCAGGGATATAGTCAGCTTAAATCACACTTTTGTCTGAATATTTAAATTATTTTATTCATATTATTTATTATTTATTACAAATAAGATTATAACAGTAAGTTAGAGAATTCTATTTTCAATTATACTACGTGCATTTGGCAGCACTTTGAATGTAGTTAGTTTCCGTTTCCTCCTCCATTTGTGTGGCTTTTCCATACAGCAGAATGGAGGAGAGAGAAATTTTAAGGAAAATGGAATTATTAAATCTCAGCTTGGCCTCCTTGGCTTTGGCAAGTGTAGTACTTTAAATTGGTTTAACTGCTTCAGTTGAGTGATTTGAAGTTGCCTACTCTTTAAGAATCAGATTTTCCTTTAAAAATGAGAATTTTTTGGAAAATACTTAACCTTTAAGATGAATGGCATATACTGGCTATTTCTTAGAACTTCACTGTTCAATAAATGCTGATGGAGAGAAGTGATGAGAGTAGATCATAAGCCATATACAGGTATGGCCAAATAAATGAATATTGGCTGCTATTGTAGTGTGACTGTGCATGGCTCTGTGGATAGATCTGTGATCCGTCTACATGAGAGGAATAGTACAGAGGAGACATTTTAACAGCTGGCTTCTTTTATTCCTCAGCTTTTGAACATAAATAGAATTCTGTAACACTGTCCCTTTAAAGGGCGGTGCATGGGGTAGCATGCACTCATACAGTACCAAGTATAGTAGAACTGCTCATTGTATTATTAACATACCCCCTGAAATCAGCCACAGGGTGGTATAGTGCACTGCTTACTCCGCTGTGTGCGTGGCAGACATAGACTTAATGGTGAGGAGGTGGGCATTGGTTTACTAGCCTCATTGTAGGAAATTTTGTGTGCATCTTAAAACTATTGGCACTAATGAGAAGCGCGATAGAACTGAAGAGATATCAGTGTGCTTAAGAAACTTGCTGCAACCTCATTAACTGCAGGTCAGTTCACACTTAGCCAATGCAGCAGTATAACTGTTTGTATGCCTTGTAATCACCTGCCTTTGGATCCTGTTCTGCTGGTTGGGTCAGGAAGTATGTGACTAGTGTTTACAGTTTTGTGCTTTTAAAAAGAGAGGTGGGAGTGGGAGGGAGGATTAGAGCTAATTTTCAACTAGTGGGATTCGAAATGCAGTTGAAAGATGTGACTCTATTCCTGGAAAATCATAGGACATCCCCATTTGATGGTGCCCTGACTTTGGACTAGAAATGCTGTCTGTATGCTTAGCTGTATTTTATTAAACTGTGCTAATTAGAGACTATTGCTAGGTGGCCTATACTGTAGAATAGACTAGTACCTTAAGCATGAACCTGTCTGAATTGGAGCGGTGAGTGGTTTCCAAGCCTCTGCTTCTCTTGGCTGATGGACTTGCTACTGTGAGCTCTATATCTTCTGAGGACATTTGATCTCTTTTGGGCTAAACGTTACCAAATACAACCTGGATTAACGGTTGCAAATCCGGTGAGAGATTGAGCCAGTTTCAGTGGTGGTATAGACTGCATGTGAAGTGTAAACTGTTTGGGAAATCAGCATAAGTAACAAAGAAGTTCGACATGCCATGGGCTTGGCATTCATGAGCGTAATTTAGAGAGTGGAGAAAAGGATGTGTTCTAGGAAAGACAAGTAATAGATGCAGAGTAAAGCAGCCCCATCTTATTCTTAACTTATGCTGGCACCATCCCAACACTTCTATGGTCAAAAATCAATGCAGGTGTAAACAAGCAAAGCTTCCGTGAGGGGGGCATTGTAATAGTTTGTGCTAGATCTGAAGTTCATTTCCCACAGAATACCAAAAGGGGGTATAAATTACAATACTTTTCCATTTAGACTCACATGTTACTAACCCAAGTACACTTGGCATCTACTTTACTCCATCAGTGGGTCTGGCACTTTGTTTCTTAGCCAACTTGGGTAGAGGAGGTGGAAATTTAAGGACCTCCACATATTAAACACTATTCAGCAGGTTCAGTCAGCTGAGATGTGGTGAAATTACACTAAGTACTTTCTCACAGGAAGTTACTAATCTGATCTGCAGGTGTTAGTTGCTAAATTTGTCACAACACAGCCCCTTTCTAGTCAACATTAAATGCAGATAGTCTTATACCTTGTGTTATAATGGCTGTAGTTTTAGGGTCAATCTCTGACATCCAAGCCCAGTTTTCCAGCAATCAGTTTGAATCACAGCTCTGTCGAGGGTCATGTCTGGTTCGCCAAGGAGCCTGTGTGCACACTAGTAGGGCTTTAAGCGGGGATTTTCAGAGACATTTATGCAAACTGGATGTAGCGGTACTGCTGTCGCTTCAGCTTGGGAAATAGTAATGAGTTGTTGCGCAGCTGCTTCCATTTGTTCCCAGTAAACAGGACTTCCCTTTGAAGCAAGGGTGGGGAGAGCTACAACTGTGCTTTTGGTGCTGAGCTCTGGTGTGCTTGTGGTAGATTTTGTAAGTCTTCTCTATACTGTCTGCTTCTTTGTTTCTCTCTTCTACATTTACCTTTGTGCCAAAGTAGCTGCTGTGGCCAATCAAAAACAAAAGAGAAAAACTTGCTTTTCAACTGTCTGTCTTCCTTTGATAATCTGTAACTGCTGTCTCCCTTGGGTTTTTAAAATATGATTTACAGTATTTTATATGTTTTTTAATATGCTTTTAATGTATAAGTGCTGTTTTTGAGTTTGTTCTAAAGGTCTGTAAGAACTTATTTCTGAATTTTTATCACCGCCCTGGCAGGTGGACTTGGAACAGTCTCTTTCAATGCACAGCTCATAATAATGATCAGCTTTGAGCAGGTAAAATGTTTTATACCCACAACTAGTGCTCTCCTATTGGTAATCTGCTCCCGTCCCTTCTCACAATGGAGGGTTCAGAAGGGAAGCAAGCTCCTTTTACCCTTGTAGACATACAACACCAAATGGCAGGTAGCATGATATTTGAGGTACTTTCCTGGTTAGTGAATCATATCCTTAGTGACCCAGTGAAAGGTCCGTGCAGAGGTATTTGGTGACCAAATACAAATGATACTGAGGAGAATCCAAAAAGCAATAGAGATGGAAGCAGTTGGGCCTCATGTGACATAGGCCCCTGAATATACGGGGTATATGCAATAGGGGTGCAATAATGAAGTCAGGAAGCCCACTTGTTTATATCCTGCAGATGTGTACAGTCAGTAGAATCGAAAGTGTGATGCTCTTAACAGTCTATCTCTTATATGTGTAGTCTGCTGTATATAACAAAGTTTAGCTTACCTTTAGAAAAGTCTTTTGATAAGTACAGAGGATAAAGGTTGTCTGCTTCCTATAAAGCACATGCCCATTATTATGTATTATGTGGGACACAATTTCAACTATGCCCCATTGTTGGTATGTCCAATTCTGTGTGGTTCCTTTTGAAAACCTATAGAACTTACACATGAACTTGCTTGCATCAGTAAACAATGCACAAATGAGGAATTGTATGTATATACACATTCAAGTGGGCTTTATGTATATAAATGTTGTCCACATGTGACTCTGCTTAAATTGTGCATGCATTACTGTACTTGCGAATACAGTTCATACATACAGAATCCCATTTGCTCATGTAGCTGAGCCTACCCATACAGAACCCTTGATTTGTGTGTGTGATTCTATATCATGAAGGGAGGCAATCTTTTAAAAATGTGACTTTCTGTCTTAAACATTCAACTTCAAAAGATTTGACTACACTCTGCTGAAGTAAACTTGTGGTGTAGTGTTCTTTACCTGTTGTTTGCATTTTATCAGCTGCCATTCCTAAACCAGTAAACCCAAACAGTCCATATTTTAGGATTTGGATTTGAAAATTGATGAACTAGACTCTGATCAAACAGAGATGCAAAAAAGGAACTTAATCTTCTGCTGGGCCTTGGAAGCCTTCACTGGAG